TCTCAGTGGAATGTACAGTGTTTTTGACACTCAGATTGGATATTTACCACCTCTTTACAGGGTAAAATGATTTCAGTAGTGATTATGAAATGAAACAAATAATAATAGCCAAAAAAGTAGAATTCTTCCTTTTATTGATCTTTCGATATCAGTATATGTATCAGTAAATACTAATAGCAGTATATAGTACAGAAAAGAAAAAGATGAATATTTACTGTAATATAAAAGCAACTTACCCACTGATCTCAGTCATAAATAACTACAGTTAATGTTTCATGCTGTAACTTCTGCAAATTTGACAATTATCTTCATCAACACCCATCTTCTTATATTCAGGTTTAGTAGACAGCATGGGTAGATTTATCAAAGCACTCACTGCTGATTGAAAAATCTTTTTATTATGATTTTCCACAGTTTTACATGGAGCAACAGATATACAAGTAAATTAGAAAAAGCTTTAAACAGAAAGTTCATATTTGACAGAGATTCATAAGTCTATTTCACAGTAAGGTCCATAATTTGAAGATCTATCCAGGTCCTTGTTTCTTTTTAATTGACATATTAAAGAATTTCCTTTTTATTGGTGGTATATAGGCATGTGAACTTGAATGAATACATTCATTGATTTGTGTAACAACCACTACAATCAGCATATTGAATAGTCACATATAATTTCTTAGGGTCAATTTTGAACACCTTTCTCCACAGTTAAAATTTTTCCATTAAAATATATTTCTCAGGCCATCCCTGGTGGCGCAGCGGGTTAAAGCACAGCACTAAGAAGCTAAAGCCACTTCAGCATGAGTTTGATTGTGAGGCCCAGAAGTGACCCACATGGCGTGGCAGACCTCTCCTGACCCACCCACTGCTCCCCTCAGCAGTGTACTTAGGAGGTTAATTAGGAGAACACCCAATTATACAGTCTCTCCAACACATTGTGTTAAGCTATACACTTCATTTGAAGTTCTGAATGGTTCAGAATTTTCCAAACTGGCTTTGGACACAGTTCTCTTAGTAAAAAAAAAAACCCCACTATTACCTGATGTGGTCTGTAGGGCCCTGCCATAATCTACCCTCCTATCCAGCTTCCTCTCCAGCCACCCCTCCCCTCCAGTCCAAGTTGCCTTCTTTCAATTCCTTGCAGTAGCATGCTTCCTCTTGCTGGTGGTCTTTTCTTATGCTACTTCCTCTAATTGGAACATTTCTGCCCTTTATCTAACCCATCTTTGAGATCTCATTTAAAGAGTCACTTTCATAAATTACCCTTGACTCAGTCTTTCGCCTACATTTTTCCTGGAATAGTGCTCCTTTCCTTCACAATACTTTATTTATAAATATTTGTGAGTATGATTATGTCAGCAATATCTTTCTAGACTGGACTTCAAGCTCCACTGTCTGTCTGCTCACTCTTTCATCTCCATCATCATCCATGCTAAATATGTCTTCAACCATATCTCTTTACTCTGAGACTTCCTTTACTGTGATCATTCTGGTTATTCTTCTCTAAAGAACTTAGCAAAAAAAAAAAAATGCTGAATTTCAGCCCTTCCTGGTGGCGCAGTGGGTTAAAGCGCAGCACTGAGAAGCTAAAGCCACTGCCGCATGAGTTCGATTCCCGCCTGCCCTGGAGGTGACCACATGGTGTCGCAGACCTCTTCTGACCTGCCCGCTGCTCCCCTCAGCAGTGTACTTCGTAGATCTGCCTGTTCTGCTCCCCACTCTGTCTCTGGTGAAGCCTCTCGCCACCCCTGAGCCTCTGGCCTGTACCCCAGTTCTGTATGCACAAATAAATAAATCTTTAAAAAAAAAAACTGAATTTACCATTGAAGACCTAATAATGAGGTCCTGTCTCGTCCACCAAAGTGGACCAAAGGCAAGGCAGTTCCTCTCAGTTACATAAAACACTAGACCATTCTATTTCATTGTATGTTTCTTACACGCAAATGAGATTATTGCAAAACCTGTAAGAAATATAACTTATAAAAGGCTTCCAGAACTCCCAGGATGGAACATAGAACTCTCAGTAAAGTTTGAACCTGTACAGAATAATGAGTAATGAGAATAATTAACCATATTATCTGCTCTGTTTTCTGTTGCTATAGCTTGAGATCACATTTGCTTTTTGGGTAGTCATGTCATAATTCTTTATTCCTACCAAAAACATTATGTACTAAGAGCTCCAATCACCTCCATGCATAATCTTTTCCATTATTTTTGCCGTGTAGAATCAAGGAATTTTTCAAACATTTGAAAACAGAATTTAATTTGCTTTGAAATAGAATTTAATACTGGTTGTTTTAATTACCCTCTCTTTAGGAGTGAATGATAGGACATACATAGTTCTTCCAGTTATTTAATGTAATATTCTCCTTTAGTGAGTCCTATCTGTGGTCCTAAGCACATTTTTCTTTTTGTACTCAAATGACCATATTCTTATCAAAGCTTTTACAGTTTTCTAAAGTGAGTTTCTGATTTTTTGATTTATATCTTATCCTCTGATGTAATAGGTTTTACCCTTTAAAGTGGTTTTCATTTTTCTAGATCACTTATAAATCTATAAATACATAGACTTTTACAAAATAAGATGAAGGTGTAATACTGTTCAACTTGATGTGACCCCTTAAGAATCTGAAAGCAAAATAAAATGTGGCTGCTTAACAATTGCTGTATTCAAATCTTTGGTTCTTATCAGTCTTTCAATTTGGTGGGTTCCCCTCCCTCCCCCTGCAAGTGCACTAACTTTGACTTATAAAAGTTTCAGGTGTGTACCACTGGAAATCAGCACACTCACATGCTTAAGTTCACACTGGAGTTCACCCCTAGAAGAATAGGTTTGGCTTCATTTTAATATTATGCACATACCTTGTGGCTCTTTCTATAAAGAAGTCTCAAAGTTGTAATAAAGTTATATTTTGAGACCCTTTTTCAAGAATTTAGAGCCTCAGTATGCTTATTTATACAATGTATGCTTATTCAGTTTATACTTATTTCAAGTTTCTGTCCCTATATTTGAAACAGTTGCTGTATGTGTAGGTTAAAAATGGAGATATTGGTGGGTTTGGAGAGCTATGCATATACTCTGATGATTTCTAGAATAACAGTTACTGCATTGTAGTGCTTTAAGACTCTTACAGAGTCTTCCAGATGATCCCTTATGGTGCTCTACCTTTGCAGTTAGGTAGCTTCGTTACAAGATACCCACGCAAATTTGAATTGTTACCATGTACTTTGCTTATCCTGAATTTGCTCTTGTTTGTATGCATCTCAATTTCAGGCCAACCCACATGTGCTAGTTTATTTTTTTATTATTTTAAATACAAAGCTGTATCTTTATATATATATATATTCATTCCATCAGTTTTCATTTTTGTACACAGTATGGTTTCCCCATGAAACCGTCTCCCTGCACCATCACCATAGTCTCTGGTGCTGGTTCTTACGCCTCTTCTTCCCCTACAGAATGTCTCTGATCTATAGTTGCCTCATGATTTTGATTTTTACTTTATTTTAGTAACCCTTTTTTTTTTCTGATACCTTCCTTGTTTGTTTTCTCTACATCCCTCCTATAAGTGAGCCCATTCAATATTTTTCTTGTTCTTTCTGGCTTCACTGATCATAATCCCTTCAAGCTCCATCCATGTTGCTCCAAAGGGCATGAGCTTTTTAAAATTATATTTATTGAGGTAATGTTGTTTTCATCACAATATATTCTTAGGGGTATAGGTTTTACAAATCTGTGTTCTCCCACCACAGCCACCACCAAAGCCATAATAATCCTCCATTAAACTCCCTCCTCCCTTTGTGCCCACCCAACTACCTCCCCCTTCTGGTAGCCTTATTCCTAGTCTGCTGTGAAAGGGGTGTCTTCTTGGTGAGTGTGTTAAATGTTTGGTCTTCTGTTATATAAATATAATGACAGTTTATGACCTTGTTCACTCCTTACTGCCTGTAATTTTATATCACAATAAATTTACCTTTTGAACATTATGTAATCAGGAACTTAATATAAAACTCTTAAATTTTTGCCTTCCCCTTATTTTCCTATAGTACAATACTCTCTAAATTTTGAACCTTTTTTCCTCAAGCAATTAAAATACAAATAATATTATGTCCATCCAGCAATTGTCACCAATTATTCATTTCAGTAAGATTTCACTCTTCAAAATGATCATTTTGGCAAAACCAAAAAAGGTGAAGTTTTCTTCTTGATCCTTTCTAAATTGTAATTTATTTGTTCACAAAAATATCTCTGAGAACAAAAAATAGTCTTGAGAATCAAGAAAAAAATGACTAGAATATAGATATATTCTAGACTTTTCTTCATTTGCAGGAATAGGGAAAAGAAGATAGTGAAGGAAATCTTTTCCTTAAATATCACATCATTTTTGTAAAGATCCACAGATCTCATAGTCTTATTGTGTCATTGAATCAGATTGAAATGGAATGTCTTATAAGAGCATTATGTCATGACTACATTTCTTTGGAAAAGCAACATCCAAATAACCATCCCTGAAAATGTAAATGAAATTGTGATAAATTTTTGTTCCTACTGCTGTTGATTTGACTGCCCACCTTAAAAGAAAAAGAAATCGTATAGATTGCCAGATGCTTTCTTTTTCCCATGCTTTTAGTCTATGTTGAGAGATGAGCACCAAGGTATTAGAGGAAAGTAATTTTAGAATCTTAATTTTGGGGTGGTAGTTTGTGATAGGTAAATATAAAACAGTGGCCTCAACTTCTTGGGAGTCAGTGAGTCACTTTTTTATATATTTACCTTTACTTGCATGCTCTGTTCAATTATTCCTTGAAACAAAGCACCCATTGTTCTATTTTGACTCATGTTGTGAAGATATTAAGATAATAGAATCTAAAAACCATAAGTAAATGATCTAGTCCAAGTCTTCAGGTATTTATGCTGTATCCAAGAAATTTCATCAACAACTTGGAGGTGGTTTTACTAAAGTTTTAGGAAACTTCTGATCCTACTTTACCTTTTTTAGGTTTCCATTATACCCAAAAGGAGGGGAGAAGTTACAATTTGATTATGGTGTCTATCTTCTGAACAAAAATATAGCACAGGTAAGTAACTCCTCTTCACTCCTCTCCTTCACACATATAATCTCCTTCTTTGGATTGCTGACCCTCTTACTTTATAAATAAGTACTAGAGTTGGCTCTTAAATCACTTACAATGATAATGCAGAGTTCTTTGTTGACCACAGTTTTATTTTGTGCCATAATCAATACTACAGAGAGTCCCTCCACTGAGTAGTTCCTTGCTAGTCGACTATATTTGAATGCGTGGACTTTGTTTGTAATAAGCCTCCATAGCTTAATTAGTAATAGCTTCCTTCTCATCAGCCTTCTTAGATTACTTCTAGGGATTCATTTTGCATTGAGGGTTATTTATGAGTAAAAATTGAGTGCCTTCGGCAAATCCTCAGTGATCTCAATTAATAACCTGGACACAGAAGAAACACCAAGCACATGGTCTTTCCAACCCATCTTGGATTTTTGTTGTTGTCTCAACACACTAGTTAGTATCTGTTTCAGACTTAAATAATGTGCCATAGAAAGACTAATAAATGCTTGGGCTAGCATTTTCCTGAAGAAGACGTGCAGTGTTCTTTAGCATACTTGACTATACTTCAAGAGTAGACATTCCATAAATATTAAAGTTAGCTGAATGCCTTTTTGTTTCTTTTTGAACATCCATCCAAATGGAATATCAAATGGAGAAATATCCATGATTTGGCTGCTATTTAAAGGTATTATTAGCTGTATCCTGAGACCTTTCCTTTTTATAGAAGCAGTAAGCTTTGCAATGCATTTGTGTTTATAGATTGTTTCCTTTTATCCATATAAATCTAAAGGCTGACTCATTTATTCCTGATAGATCTATAATTATTCCTCCATATGGTGTCTTCTTTTCCTTTCTTCTTCTCAGCCAGCCTCAGTGTATTTTTTTTTTGAAGATTCTTTTCCTTTTCTGACTGTATCAGATTTCTAGTTTGCAGTCTTTTATAGTTATTTGCTTCATAACTTCACAGTCTTGGCGCTTTCAGTCATACTACTTTTGTTGTTATTGACACTCCCGCATATATCTGGACTCCAGCAAGGAGCCTTGCTCAGTCTCTGGCCCATGACCCACTTTTCCATGTGCCATTTTCCCACTGCTGATGATTCTGCCCTCCATTTTTTTAGGAAAGTATCTGACATAAGAAAGAAGACTCTAGAATACTTAGCTTACTACTGGTCACAGTTGTGATATCATGGGAAAGGTAGTGCTTAATAGAAAGAGCTGTTCAAGATTAGTCAGGTTAAGCTTGCCTAAGTAAATTAGAGCGTACCTCCAATCCTGTCGGCCAGCCTGAAAAAGAGGTCATGAATACTGGAATCCAGAGAAGAAGCCAGAAGGTCGCTAGGGTTGGCCTCACTTACGTTCTGATCTGAGTTTAGAGATTCAGCTATCTTTGCCCTGTTTTCTAATTCTTGCTTTAAGCACATAGGCCTTAGGGTCAGAAGTCTGGTGGAAGCTTCCAGGTGAAACTTAAGTCTGCTTAAGGTGGAGCTCATAAAACCTCACACTTGCATTTATACACATACAAATTTAATTCTTGTCCGAGTCCAATAGGAATGCTAAATGATGGAATAAAGAAGCACTAAGTAGAATGTATCTTGTTTTGAGAGTAAAACAAAGATAGAGGTTGACTGATTGCAGTGGAAGTCAGCCCCACACATTGCAGCGCTAGCTTGTTTGATGCTTCTGCGGCACACTCGCCAAGTAGCCCTGGCTATATTCCCAGTTGAACCAAAGCACCTAGATGCGGAAGTGGCTTTATTCATATGTTTAAAAGTGGGTAATTTGTAATAATTTTTATCTTCCCTAATTTTTACACTCATTTTGAAAATGTTAACCTATACACAATAGGTTAACCACTCTAATCTAGGAACAGGTATCTTGCGCTCTCTCTTTTTTAAAAATCACCATTGTGGCAGCTTTAACAGGAGGGGCAGTTAACTTCTTGTAAACAGACTTTCTTCAGTTTCAGAGTGTATTCAGGAAGCTCCTTCTGCTTTTCCCTTAGAAAGAAACTTAGCAAATTTGTGACCTTTAACATTTTGTCCTCCTCCACTCTGTCCCATCTCCCATCTTATTATTTTGTGTGAAATATTTATTTCATTTAGACTTTGGCCTTACTACCCTCAATTTTTTATATTTCCCTTTATAACAAATGAAAGAACCATTAGTTATTATGACTCCTAATTCGTTGTTATTTATATATCAATAAGGTATTTGCAACTTTTGAAGGTTTATTTTTATACCTATTTATACCAGTATATGTTGTCAAAGGGGAGTTTGTCTCCTCAGTCAGTCTCATTTATACTCCATCTCTAGAGATGTGAACAAATCATACTATTAAAATGGCCCCACCTCAGTAATTTATAAACCACGTTAGTGGAGGTGGATGAAAGCATTGGCATGTGTTAAAGTACCAGAGAAAAAGGAGTGAAGTCATTTAATACTGCATCCATAACTTGGTTGAGGATTTGAATAGTCAATAGGACCTTTCATCACAACCAGAAGTAGTAGTAAAATCACTTTTTTGTTAGAGGAAATGACAGAATTTAGTAATATTTGTTACTTCAGTTTTTGGGATCAGTCCAGCCTAAGTCTTGAAAGTACAAACTTAGACAGACAGGCCTTCTGGTCAAAACCCTTAAGTGTTGTTTGAGGAGTTGAGAGAATTGGTGAGGCCTGCTTGCCCTCTTCCTGTCACCACTGTCTGAAGGTATGTGTGTGCGCTGGATTGGATATTGAAAGTGAAAAAGTAAAATAGCTTGCTTAGGGCAACTAATATTTTTCAAGTGCCAGCCACTTTGAATGGAAATCGCCTTCTTTGTTGGTCAGCATGTAGTATTATAAGCACAGGCATGGCAAAATGCAAGTATAGTTTAATTAGCATTGATTTAAAAAACTGGGTCATGCCATAATTGTTGGTAAGTTTAGAAGTATATTATATTCATATTTGTAGGTAGCCCAGTCGTTTTTAATTCTCAAATCATAAGAAATAGTAAATCAAAATTATAATACTGTCTCCTAGCATTCATAGAGAACTTTATAGTTTTGTAACAGACATACATTTTTATATCCATGTGCCCCATATCTTGACTCTGTAAAGTGAAATGAAGGGCAGGAGATGTTAAATGAATTTATAGACAGTATGATCTTCCATCCCTGGTGTGATGTTTACATCCATCACACCGGTGTTATATCACATAATCTGACAGGCTTGATAGATATTCCCCTACCTCTGTATGTTTATTTGCCCTTTGTGTTTCTGTGCTAAAAGTGACAGAATCAAAGATGACGGTCTCAAAGAGCAAGGGCACTGTAAGAAAACAGACAATATCTGTTTTGCATATTTCAGTTAGTAAGCATAATGTCAGAAATACTGCAGATTCGCAAAAGGTGTTTTAAAAATGATTGTGGTATAGCACTATCACATAGCTAAAAACTGATCCAAACAGTGTAAATAACTTATTGAAATTGATGAATTAATTGATTCAACAGGTATTTGTTGAACACTTACTTAACTGCTTTTCCTACTGAGTTAGAGGGAGGGTCCTCCCCGGTGGCATAGTAGGTTAAAGCACAGCACTGAGAAGCTATGGCCACTTCAGCAGGAATTCGATCTCCAGCCCCAGAGGTGACCCACATGGCGCACAGACCTCTCCTAACCCACCCTCTGCTCCCCTGAGCAGTGTACTTCATCAGTCAGCCTGTTCTGCTCCTCACTCTGTCTCTGGTGAATCCTCTCACCTCCCCTGCACCTCTGGCCTGTACCCCAGTTCTGTATGCATAGATCAATAAAACTTAAAAAAAAAAAAAAAAAAGAGGGAGCCTAAGTTGCTGTTTTAACTGCATCAGTGAGGATACCATGTATAAGGAAGTAATGTATTCAGACAGCTTGTTCACCATCAGCTTTTAGTTTCACGTTAAGATAATGAATTTTCTTTATTCTTAATAGAAATAACTTTTTAATAATATAAATGATCCGATCTCCTATAAATTTGTTTTAGACTGTAGCAAAATACTAAGGAAACACATAAACCACTTGGGAGTCTGTTGCTTAGAGACAAACATTTTAATATCTGTTTTTCCCAATATCTCTGCAAATACCCAGGCATAAAGTAAACTGATATATATATTTTTTTTTTCTCCATGTTTCCATCTCATTTCATCATTTGTGGAATATGAAATGTTTACAACACAAAGTGCACTTTGTATTTTATTTATTTTAATATGGTTTTGGGCACTGTTTTAAGTGTTTTAGGAATATTATTTAATCCTCATAACAATTCTAAAAGAGAGGAATTCTAACCAATCAGTACTGACATTCTTCCTATTACTCCCATCACACAGATGAGGACACTGAGGCATAGAAAGATTATCCAAAGCCATATTCGATGTGCAGTTCTGCAAGATCACAAAGATCACAAGCTGACCACAGATCTGAGACATATGCGGGGAGGGTGAAGGTAGGGCTCTAAATGGGGGAGAGCACAGAAGAAACTGGTGAAGGCTTAGGGGTGCTACGGTGGTAGGAGAACTAGGGACTTCACCTAGGGAGAGAATCAAATACTGTACAAAAATGAACAGTGGTGTAAGAAAATAAATAAATAAACTTAATTTCATACGTGAAAAGAAAAAAAGTGCAGTTCTGTTTTGTAGTAGGGTTTAGATTCCTGCACACCTAGATATGCACCCTGCCTGCTGTCCGGATGAGCTTTGGCACATCATTTCCGTCCATTCCCTTTTCTCTATCAAGTTGGATCATCAGGATTATTGTGGGGACTAGAAAATATGAATGTCACGTTCACAGCTCAGGATTTGCCCCCCAAAAGGGTGCTTAATAAATGGGAGTGGCCATTTTTTGCTATCGAGGTGGTTAATGTTATTCCTGTTGGCCAATACGGAGCAGGAATGCTTTAGTGGAAAGGTGTGTTCTCTCGACTGGACATTTAGAGATGGAAATATCTGACTGGTGAGAGAGGATGGGGAGCTGAGGTGTGGAG